AGGCCAGGGACTGTGGCTTTGTTCATCTCTGTATCCTCAGGGACTGCTGCAGGCATGGTAGAAAATAGACATCTAGAAGCCTTGCTCAACCCCTCCAGGCCCCAGTGTCCTCCCAGGAGAAATGGAGGTGACAATACTCACCTTGTGGGGAGCCACTAGGAGGGTGAACCAAGATAATGTCTAAGCAGGACTTACCAGAGTACTCAGCACATCTGAAGTACTCAATAAACGTCTCAGAAGTACTTAATAAACGTCTCCTATGATTACGATTACCGTGTTATATAATAATATGAAATCTTCCATAATATTACTACTAATAAGCCTATTTAAGGAAGAGGATAGAGCAATGAATACTTATTAAAGTGAAATTAATTAGTTGTTTTCTTCTTCCATTCTGAAATATTAGAATGTCAGAAACAATAGTATTTATAAGCCCCTCTTTTTTTTTTTTATTTATTTTTTTATCCCCATACATTACATCATTAGTTCTAGATGAAGTGTTCCATGATTCATTGTTTGTGCATAACACCCAGTGCTCCATGCAGAATGTGCCCTCCTCAATACCCACCACCAGGCTAACCCATCCTCCCACCCCCCTCCCCTCTAGAACCCTCAGTTTGTTTTTCAGAGTCCATCGTCTCTCATGGTTCGTCCACCCCTCCGATTTCCCCCGCTTCATTCTTCCCCTCCCGCTACCTTCTTCTTCTTCTTTTTTTTTCTTAACATATATTGCATTATTTGTTTCAGAGGTACAGATCTGAGATTCCACAGTCTTGCACAATTCACAGCGCTTACCAGAGCACACACCCTCCCCAGTGTCTATCACCCAGTCACCCCATCCCTCCCACCCCACCCCCCACTCCAGCAACCCTCAGTTTGTTTCCTGCGATTAAGAATTCCTCATATCAGTGAGATCATATGATACATGTCTTTCTCTGTTTTATAAGCCCCTCTTAACCTGAGAGATTCCATAGCCCAAACCAGTGGGGTGAAAACCATGCCGCTATATTCCAGTTTCAGTGGCTGTTTCTCTAATCAAAGGAAAAAATAAATTGATAAAACTTTTCTTCATATTAAGTTTACTTCTTAACACTTCCCTTAAAAGTAGGCTGTAGGGCAGGCCCTAGAGTCTGGCTGCTGGTTTCAAATCCTGGCTTTTCTTTCTTTTTTTTTTTTAAAGATTTTTTTTTTTATTTTTATTTATTTGAGACAGAGAGAATGAGAGACAGAGAGCATGAGAGGGAGGAGGGTCAGAGGGAGAAGCAGACTTCCTGCCGAGCAGGGAGCCCGATGCGGGACTCAATCCCGGGACTCCAGGATCATGACCTGAGCAGAAGGCAGTCGCTTAACCAACTGAGCCACCCAGGCACCCAATCCTGGCTTTTCTGTCTGCCCAAGGCGAGAGCTTGGCAGTAGTCACTAAACCTCTCTGAGCCTCAGCTGCCTCAGTTATAAAATGAGGACAACACCCCATATCTTACAGGAGTGCTGTGGGGATTAAGGCATACAAAGACCACGCTTAGAACAGAGTAAGGACCTGGCCAGCACGACTCTGTTGGGTGCCCTTGCTTAAAGTGATAAAACGAATGAATAAGTAAAAGTTCTAATGAAGAAAAAAAATTAATCTGTAAAAAGTTGTAATTTCTTAACATATTATATGTTACTTTAAGATACCAAAGTTTGCAGATATACTGAAGATCCATATTTTATGCTACTCAATAGTCCTTTATTTGGGTGCCAGAATTTAAAGTGGTGATATTTTTATGGGCTTCTGCAAAGAGCACCACGACTTCTGGCTGTCCTGTCCCCAACACATGGGAGAATCAGGGCTCTGATCTCAGGAAAACGCCTTGCCAGCCTCTTCCTCCACCCCAGAGCAGTAATCCTGTAAAACAATGCTAGATGGTTTCTCCAAATTGGGTCTGCCCCAAACCTCCCAGTTCAGACTGGTCCAATGTACAGTTGACCCATAAGGAACCTGGGCCTCGACTCAAGCGAGCCTCAGTTGCCTCCTTTTAAAAACAGGAAAAATAAAATTTACCTAGACTTGAATGGAACAATGGAATATTCCTAGCATAGGGTCAAGACGACTTCCCTCAATTCCCCTTCTAGCATTTGTAATAGGAGGAACAGGCCTGCTCTTTTTCAAGCTCTGAAAAGTCTGGGGTCGCCAGTCCTTAGTGATTTCTGAAAGAAGTGTCTGGGGAGACATTTTTGGATCCTAGTTGTGCCCTCTCTTAATGTGAAACTCATAGGGATGCCTGGGTGGCTCAGTCGGTTAATTGTCTGCCTTTGGCTCAGGTCATGATCCCAGGTTCCTAGGATGGAGTCCCACATCGGGCTCCCTGCTCAGCAGGGAGTCTGCTTCTCCCTCTGCCCCTCCTCCTGTTTGTGCTCTCTCTCTCTCTCCCTCTCAAATAAATAAATAAAATCTTTTAAAAAAATGTGGAACTCTTGGAGCTTGGAGGCTCTTCCCTGCAGGTAAGAATTTGTATGTTTTCTGGAGCTTCACCATTTCGGTGCCCGGTGGCGGCTATGTAGGGTAAGGACTGCCCTAAGAGGTAAGAACTCAGCTGGCCCAGGGCCCAGAAAACCCGGGAGTCCTTCTGGGCTGGCCTGGGCTAGGCCAGTGGTCTCAAACAGGCATGCTCTAAGATGTCCTGGATGAAGGAATGTAAGAAACTTTATGAAACAATGATACAGTGACTATTAATAACTACCAGGTTCTATGCCAGGCTCTTTATATGGGTTAGCTCTTCACACATAACAACCATCCACATTTCTTAGGGAAAAGGAAACAGGCTCAGAGAATGTACTTGACCCGGGGTCACAGAAGGAGCAGAACAAAAATTCAAAACCCCAGATCTTTTTAGAATAAAGTCTACTGTAGGGACGCCTGGGTGGCTCAGTCGGTTAAGCGGCTGCCTTCGGCCGAGGTCATGATCCCAGGGTCCTGGGATCGAGTCCCATATCGGGATCCTTGCTCAGTAGGGAACCTGCTTCTCCCTCTCTCTCCCTCTGCTTGTGCTCTGTCAAATAAATAAAATCTTAAAAAAAAAAAAAAAAAAGAATAAAGTCTACTGTACTTTCAGAGTCTGCTGCTTTATCTGCCATCAGGACTTTTAAAATCCAAATACTTTTAAAATCCACAACTCCCCAAGACTTAGAAAATAAAGTGCTTCATGGATATCCCTTCCTGATTTGTTCAGGGATCTTCTCTGTGTTCACCTCTCCTGGACCCCCCTCACACAGTTTCTTGATCCCCGCCATGCTAATTCCTGCCTCTAAGCCTTTGCCTTTGCTGCTCCATCTGCCAAGAATGCCAGTCTCTTGCTTCATCCTCCTCCTTTGGCCTGGCAAACACCTTCTTATCTTTTCCAGATTCAGGTCAAGGAACACCACTTCTGTAAAGTGTTTCTGGGGGCACTGGCTGGCTCAGTCAGAAGAGTGTACAACTCTTGAGTTCGGGGGTTATGAGTTTGAGCCCCATGTTGGGTGTAGAGATTACTAAAAAAAATCTTAAAAAAAAAAATGTTTCTGCATGGCTCCTGGGGTCCCCTCTGTCTAAAAGCACCTCCAGAGCTTAGAGTGTTTATTTGTTGATACATTTGCCTTCTCTCTACCAGACTATAGCTCCTTGAAAATAAGGACTGTGTGTTAACTACGTTATTTTACCCAGTGTCTATTGCAGGGAACTTCTGAAACCTCTTCTTTTCTTCTTATTTTATCTTATTTTATTTATTTATTTTTAAAGATTTTATTTATTTTTATTTTGAGAGAGAGAGAGCACAAGAGGGGGGAGCGGGAGAGGGAGAAGCAGACTCCCTGCTGAGCAGGGAGCCCGATGTGGGACTCGATCCCGGGACTCCAGGATCATGACCTGAGCCGAAGGCAGTCGCTCAACCAACTGAGCCACCCAGGAGCCCCTTTATTTTATTTATTTATTTAGAGAGAGCAGGGGGAGGGGCAGAGGAAGAGGGAGAGAGGGAATCTCAAGCAGACTCCACACTGAGCGCAGAGCCCAACACGTGGCTCCATCTCACAACCCTAAGATCATGACCTGAGCTGAAATCAAGAGTTGGACGCTTAACTGACTGAGCTGCCCAGGCGCCCCTGAAACTTCTTCTAACCTGGGCTTGCTGCTGTGTAAAATGCAGTGGGTATTCTGCATGGAGCACTGGGTGTTATGCACAAACAATGAATCATGGAACACTACATCAAAAACTAATAATGTAATGTATGGTGATGAACATAACAATAAAAGTAAAAAAAATGCAGTGGGTAATGTCTACCTCGTATGGCTGTTATAAAGGTCAAAATGAGGTGATGTTTCTCATGCGTTCAGCTTACTTGTTTAGTTAACAACTAAAGCCATTATTATATTATCCTTTAATATTGTTAGTTTTAATATTTTAAATAAAATAATAGGTAAAAGAGTAAATCCATGAATAAATATAGTGACCCAAGCAAAACCCCCACTCCTGCTTTTCCCTCAGCCTAGGAAAAACTATGATGGAATATTTCCCCTATCCTGGGAATAGCTATTTCTGTTTCTCAGTCTTTGGTCACAGTTTCCTTTTTCTCCTGTTGTTTTACCCTACCTGGTAGAAATATCAGGGCTCCTGCCAGAGCTTCCCAGTCCCAGGGGAGAGAATTGGTCAAGGTCTGAGAGTGACAAGGGAGAGCAGTCCAACTTCATTCTTGCTTCCCTTTCCCTCTCCCCCTTTTCCTTCCTGTGGGGGAAATAAAAAACACTTAACAAAAATTGGCTCAAAAATTCAGTGTGATTTCTTCAAAGGTGTCACTGGAATCTTGATAGATACTGAAAGGAAAAGTTTACAAAGGAACCAATAATGGCAACAGCAAATAACCAGAACAGAATGCTGAACACACTGCACGATCCCCTCATCTGTCTTCTAAGTACTGTTGGATGCCAGGCACTGGACTTGGCCCCGGGGAAAACAAGATCACCCAGGGCAAGATTCCTTGAGGCCAAATCTTCAATCTAGGGAGATGGACAAGCACGTCTATGATTGAGTAGGCTAAGATCTGTGGAGCACGATCAGGAAAGCACAGGGCACATAATGGGTACCCTGAGTAAGCAAGTCAGGGGAGACTTCCAGGAGGTGATGCCTGAGCTGGGTTTTAAAGGTCAGCAAGGAGTTAGTAAGATTAAGAGGTATTTGGAAGACAGTCAAGTCTGAGGGAACAACAATAATATTGGTAAATTAAACTGCGTTGGCTTAGATTTCTGAGAATCTAAGGTGGATGTCAGAAAGATTGTTTCTGATAGATCAGTTGAGTCACCACTGATCCTGTAAGATTCCATGGCTCAAACAGGTGGGTCTTAAGCTAAACTGCGATTATAAAAAAATTGTGGTCTTCTCGATCAAAGGAAAATTAAAATTGGAAGACTTAAGATTGGAAGGTTTCCTTGGGTAAATTTCTCAACTCATTAAGCTTTTCTTCATCTCTAAAATGGAGACTGTAACACCATCTATCTGTGATGAGATGGTTAGTTACCAACCCATCATCTGCTCTCCCTGTTTCTTTAGCAATGGAGCCAGTTTTTGGTTAAGATGGCAATGTGCCCAGAGTTTTTATTAATTACATTTCCCAGCCTCCTTTGAAACTAACATCACCATGTGACTAATATCCGACCCTTGAAATAAAGTGGCAATATGAAATGGTATTTCCAGGGAGGTTATTAAAAAGGGAGAGGGTAACCGGGATTGACTACAACTGAGCATGAGGGATCTTTCTGGGGTGATGAAAAAGTTCTAAAACTGGATTGCAGCAATTGTTGCGAAACTCTGTAAATTTGCTAAAATTAATTGAATTGTATACTTAAAATGAGCAAATTTTATGGTAAATTACACCTCAATAATGTTATAAAGTAATAATAATTATTATAAAACATCATTTAAAATGGGTTTTGGGGTTTTTTTTAAAGGAATGTGTTTATTTTTATTTTTTTTTTAAGATTTTATTTATTGGGGCACCTGGGTGGCTCAGTCATTAAGCGTCTGCCTTCGGCTCAGGTCATGATCCCAGGGTCCTGGGATCGAGCCTCGCATCGGGCTCCCTGCTCCGTGGGAAGCCTGCTTCTCCCTCTCCCACTCCCCCTGCTTGTGTTCCCTCTCTCGCTGTGTCTCTCTGTCAAATAAATAAATAAAATCTTTAAAAAAAAAAAAGATTTTATTTATTTATTTGACACAGAGAGAGCATGAGCAGCAGGGAGGAACAAGGGGAGAGGGAGAAGCAGGCTCCCTGTGGAGCAGGGAGCCCAATATGGGGCTTGATCCCAGGATCCTGGGATTCTGACCTGAGCCAAAGGCAGACACTTAACTGATTGAGCCACCCAGGCTCCCCAATAAATATAATCTTAAAAAAAAAAAAAAAGAGGGTGGCTGGGTGATGGACATTGGGGAGGTATGTGTTGTGGTGAGTGCTGGGTGTTGTATAAGACTGATGATAACAGAGTGCATCGGGCTCCCTGTTCAGCAGGAAGTCTGCTTCTCCCTCTCCCACTCCCCCTGCTTGTGTTCCCACTCTTGCTATCTCTCTCTCTGTCAAATAAATAAAAATCTTAAAAAAAAAAAAGGCTGATGAATCACAAACCTGTGCCCCTAAAACAAATAATACATTATATGTTAATAAAATATAAATTAAGAATTCTGACAGGGGCGCCTGGGTAGCTGAGTCAGTTAAGCATCTGACTCTTGATCTCAGCTCAGGTCTTGATCCCAGGGTTGTGAGTTCAAGCCCCATGTTGTGCTCCACACCCAGTGTGGAGCCTACCTAAAAAAAAAAAAAAAAAAAAAAAAAAAAAAAATTCTGACAGTGTTCATATTTCCAGTTTTCCATGGTCTTTGTCAGAACAAACCTTAAAAGAAACGCAATCTCCCTCTCAAGACTTCCTCCAGATTTCTTGTCAGGGAATTCCTCGATGAAGGTTGAAGGTGGGATGAACATGTGGTTTGCCTTCTTTTTATCTAATGCTCTTTGGTCGATATTCTTCACCTCTCTGTGGAGAAATCACAAAGTCACGTATGGAAAAATACTGAAAAGTCAGCATGATCTTTTCACTCCTATTTTCATATGTGAAGAGAGACAAATATTTGCAAAGTTATTCATTCAAGAGCAACTGACTGAAGTAGAGAGCTGACTACACAGCAACTACTCAGTCCGGAGCCCCTGCTGTGTGCTAGGGGGCATATCAGTCCTTGGAGACACAGAGAGGAATAAGACGTGGTCCCTGAATTCAAGGAACACGCACTCAGATTAGGAGGGCAGGAGAAGAAATCAACAATCTGAAAGAGGGGCGCCTGGGTGGCTCAGTCAGTTCAGCGTCTGCCTTCGGCTCAGGTCACAATCCCAGGGTCCTGGGATCGAGTCCCGCGTCGGGCTCCCTGCTCGGCAGGGCAGTCCGCTTCTCCCTCTGCCTGCCGCTCCCTCTGCTTGTGCACTCGCTCTCTGACAAATCGGTCAATCAATCAATCTTAAAAACAAACAAACAAAAAAACAATCTGAAAAAAAGCTGAATTTTGAAGGCAAGCTGAATTCAAGTTGGGGATCTGCCGCTTGCTGTCTGACTTTGGGCAAATTACTTAACCTCTCCCTGCCAGCGTATCACCACCAACTTGGTGATAATAGAACCTAGGGTTGCAGTGAGGATTCACTGAGTTACCACAGGTCAGGTGCTTAGCGCAGTGTCTGGTACACAATAAATAAAGGAAGCGCTCTAGAAATGTCAGCAGCTGCTGCTGTTCTTATAGAAGACAGTTTTCAGCGGAGTGTGCTCAGATAAGCATGGGGTACACAATGGGAATGCCAAACTGGGTGATATACCAGCGGACTTTTGAAATGTAAGTAGACATTTACTTGATGAAGAAGCAGGTTACGGACACTCAAGGTAAACAAAATAGCAATAAAAATGTATTTGTGTGAATTAAGATTCTGTCATATACTTCTCTGCTGATGGAGGAGAGATGCAGAAAGACCGGTATTAAAAGACCAGCATTGGGGCGCCTGGGTGGCTCGGTCATTACGCGTCTGCCTTTGGCTCAGGTCATGATCCCATGGTCCTGGGATCGAGCCCCGCATCGGGCTCCCTGCTCTGCAGGAGGCCTGCTTCTCCCTCTCCCTCTCCCCCTGCTTGTGTTCCCTCTCTCGCTGTGTCTCTCTCTGTCAAATAAATAAAATCTTTAAAAAAAAAAAACCAAAAAACCAGCATTGAACTGAGGTAGGGAAGCTGAAGGGACTCCATTTTATTTTATTATTTTATTTTATATATTTATTTTATTTTGTTTTGCTTTTTTTTAAGATTTTATTTATTTACAATAAATAAATAGGGGCAGCAGAAGAGGGCAAAGCAGGCTCCCCGCTGAGCAGGGAGCCCAATATGGGACTCAATCCCAGGACCCTGGGGTCATGACCTGGACCAAAGGCAGATGCTTAACCAACTGAGCCACCCAGGTGTCCCTATATATTTCTTTTAAAGATTTTATTTATTTATTTATTTATTTATTTATTTATTTATTTATTTATTTATTTGAGAGAGTGTGAGCACATGTACAAGTGGGGGGAAGAGTAGAGAGAGGGACAAGCAGACTCCATGCTGAGCATGGAGCGCAACACAGGACTCGATCCCACGACCCCAAAATCACGACCTGACAGACGGACAACCGACTGAGCCACCCAGGCGGCCCTGAAGGGACACCATTTTAGAAAGGCTCCATCTCTGCTATTTTTCTGCTAGGCCCCATTTCAGAATAAGTCAAAGAAGCTATGTTCCCACTTTGAGGGGGAAGCAAGATAGTTAATCATTCTCTGAATTTTGTCCTAGGCCCCAAACACCTAATAATGTCTAAGAGCCAGATCCCAAATATGTTCCAAGCTGACACTGGCATCAATATCTCTACCTTCGGTAATTTACGGAATAACACCCGTTGTTCACCCAACACTTACCTCTGATTGGGCCCTACGCTGGACTCCTGAAGGAACAAATACCCTAGACCCCTTTCCAACATAAACCCCTAACCTCAGGCAATGACAAGACTCCTTCTCCTTTCCTTTCCAAGTCTCCCAGACATTCTGTCTGCTATTCTCTACTTGTCATTTATACTCTTCAATAAACTGTTTTCACTTTCTCTCTTGCATTTGATTTCTTTTTCTTTTTTTTTTTTTAAAGATTTTATTTATTTATTTGACAGAGAGAGACACAGTGAGAGAGGGAACACAAACAGGGGGAGTGGGAGAGGGAGAAGCAGGCCTCCCGCTGAGCAGGGAGCCCAATGAGGGGCTCGATCCCAGGACCCTGGGACCATGTCCTGAGCCGAAGGCAGACGCCCAACAACTGAGCCACCCAGGCGCCCCTTGCATTTGATTTCTATCCTGTGTAAAGCCAAGGACCCTCTTGGCTGGTCCTGGGGGAGCCTCCTCTGGATCCTCAGACTCAACCAGGCTGTATCAAAACCCATGGTTATTCCAACAATGGGCAACTTCTCCCAAGTCAAAGGAAGAAATTCTGTTGACACAATGTTCTTACTTTGGGATCTTCTGCCACAACTTTTTCTTAACCCTGGGGAGCCTGCTTCTGCTTGCAACAAAGAGGCAAAGAACAGCAGCAGATTGCATTTGTCCTTGTTATGATCACATTTTCTTTTCTTTTTTTTAAGATTTTATTTATTTATTTATTTGAGAGGGAGGAAGAGTGAGCAAGAGAGAACACAAGCAGGGGGAGGGGCAGAGGCAGAGGGAGAAGCAGGCTCCCCGCTGAGCAGGGAGCCCAATGTGGGACTCGATCCCAGGACCCCGGGATCATGACCTGAGCCAAAGGTAGACATTCAACGAACTGAGACACCCAGGCACTCCAGACCTGACTCTTAAAAAATGAGGTAACTACAAAACCATTATAATATCTACAAAGAAAAGGAATACACCGATATAAGGAGTTCCTTAATATGTTCCTTTGGAACATAGATACCAAATAGTTCATAGACTCTAAATGTGCAGCTCAAGGAGTTTTTGTGGACTGAGCACACCCATGTAACCAGCACCCAGATCAAGAAACGGAACATTGCCCGCTCCCCAGAAGCCCCCTCATCCGTACCCTACTCAAACCCTACTTCCCTGAGGGTAGCCCTAATTTTGCTCCTTCTGCTTCCGAGTAGTCTCATTCACCCACGGGGAGCCACAGCTTCCCCCTAGTGTCCCAGGCTCTGGCGTCTGATGTCTAACAGCACAGATGTGGGTTTGGTTTTTTTTTAGATTATTTACCTTAGAGAGAGAGGGACAGTGAGAGGGCAGGGGGTCGGGGGAGGGGCAGGGGAGAGGGAGAGAGAGAGAATCTCAAGCGGACTTCCCACTGAGCTTGGAGCCCGACGATGCAGGGCCCCATCCCAGGCCCCCGAGATCATGCCCTCAGCCAAAATCAAGAGTCCGATGCTTTACCCACTGAGCTACCCGGGGGCCCCTTTCAGCACAGATGTGTTTCAAGGACACCGTTTTCTTTCGCAGACACAATTTTGAGAATCACCTTGTTAACAGAAGGCATCCTGAGCTTCTTGACAATGCCTTATCCAACAAAAAGTGGATATATTTCGCATAATTATAGTTTCTACTGACTTAAAATACCTATACTATAATTCACCTGACAAGGATGTCCTTGTATATTTCTGAAATATATACGTGGTAGACTTAATCTTGAATAAATTTAATACTAGCCCTAAATTATTTTTGCCCTGCTCATGCCATAGCTAGGTATAACTAGGGGGGCTAAGTTCTGGCCGATGGAATGAAAAATGGAAGCTTCACTTGTGACTCACAAGAGGTATGCATTTCTTTGGACTTCACCTTCCTTTTTCTTTTCTTTTAAGATTTTTATTTATTTGACAGAGAGAGAGACTCAGCAAGAGAGGGAACACAAGCAGAGGGAAAGGGAGAAGCAGGCTTCCCGCCGAGCAGGGAGCCCGATGCGGGGCTCAATCTCAGGACCCTGACATCATGACCTGAGCTGAAGGTAGACGCTTAATGACTGAGCCACCCAGGCGCCCCTTCATCTTCCTTTCTATTGGCTGGAATATGGACCTGATGGCTGGAGCTTGACCAGCTATCTTGGATCATGAGGTGGAATCATGGGCGAAGGATTATGGAGAAATAAGACAAAAGGGGCTTGGGTCCCTGGCACTGACCTGCCATATCTCTTGGACTCCTTTTTAAATAATAAAAATAGATTTGCACCTTGTTTTAGCCACTATTTTGAGTTCTGTCACTCGAAGTTAAACCTAATTCTAAGTGATAGAATTACCTACTATGGGCTTGGTCTTATAAACAGGCTTTATGTGCCTTATTTTACTTGATTGATACAACTCTCCAAAGTAGGAAATATTATCTTCATTTAAGCAACAAAGAAATGGAAGCTCAGCAATATACGTGACTGGTCCAATGTCATAGAGCCAGTAAGTAAAAAACCCTAAGCCTCTGCCATTCCAATTGCTACAACTATTGGGAGAGACAGACATTACAAAACATCTATGTTAGAAACAGAACATAATACCTGGTGCCTAGAAGTTGCTGAAAACATTTGTTGGAACAATGAGTGAAATATAGAAAAAACAAAGCGTAATGAGCCACAGTAACAGAGGCAGAAACAAAGAGCCCTAAAGAACAATTCCTGCAAGGGCGCCTGGGTGGCTCAGTCAGTTAAGCATCTACGTTTGGCTCAGGTCATGATCTCAGGATCCTGGGATCAGGCTCCCCACATCAGGCTCCCTTCTCAGTGGAGCCCGCTTCTCCCTCTCCCTCCCCTTCACCCTGCTTGTGCTCTCTCTCTCTCTCCCAAATAAATAAATTAAAAAAAAAAAAAGAAAAAGAATGGTTCCTGGGTCCTCTCCCTTCCCCAGTCTTGACCCTCTCCTCCCTCACCTGCATCTCTCTGACCTCTCCCGCTTCACACAGGCTTGGGTCTTCCACTTTACATTGAAACGGCCCTGTTACTCACCATCCAATCTTGCCTTTTTTAGTTCAGAATTTTGCTCCTTCTGCTTCCTAGTAGTCTCATTCACCCATGGGGAGCCACAGCTTCCCCCTAGTGTCCCAGGCTCTGGTGTCTGACCTCAGCCCTGTTAAGACCGTTCTCTACCAACTCACCAAACCTGTCTCAGCCCCAGGCTTCTGCATCTGGCACCCCGCTGCTGATCCTTACTTCCCTTAGCCCTTTCTTCCCTCAGCTTCATGGTTGGTGTGCCTTTACATGCAGGCTCTCCTTTCCTTCTGGCCACTCTTTCTCCTTGGCCCCATTTGTCCTCCCCACATATGTGGTGGCCCTCTAAGTTTCTGTCCTTGACCTTGACTTCGGTAAATGGCGATAAATAACTGTGCCTCTTACACACACTATTTTATACCCTGATTTTTTTTGTTTTGGTCCAGTAATATATTGTGACCATCCCTCCTTATAAAATAAGAATACTAGATCAACATGGCCATTTTTCTTGGCTGCAGAGCATGCACATACAAGAGCTTATTAAACCAATCACCTTTTTTTAAAAACATTTTAAAAAAATAGTTTATTTATTTATTTAAGAGAGACAGAATGAGAGAGAGAGAGAGCACAAGATGGGAGAAGGTCAGAGGGAGAAGCAGACTCCCTGCTGAGCAGGGAGCCCGATGCGGGACTCGATCCCAGGGCTCCAGGATCACGACCTGAGCCGAAGGCAGTCGCTTAACCAACTGAGTCACCCAGGCTCCCCTCACTCTTTGATGAACATTTAGGCTAAACTGCATTTTTGTGGGGCTTGTTTTTGTGCGCGTGTGTGTGTGTGTGTGTATCATCATTTGGAAATAACTCAACTGTATCACTTTGCAAAATAAATCAGTTACCTATGTGTTCATTGTTTCCTTTCTCTCTCCTATGATGGCAGATGCCAATGGCTGTCTAGCCAACAGCTATTCACCCTTTCTCCCCTGCTAACCGAATCCAGTGCTATTTTGGGTAATGAAGTGCCCAGCCAGTTCTGCTCTGGTCCAGGCACGGAAATCTCATTTCTCTTTGCCAGATATTTCCCGAGCTTCTTTTGCAGCCCGGATGTCCATGTAAGAGAGTTACGGGAGCAGGCAGAGAAGACATGAGAGAGATAAGGAGCAAACGAAGAAGGTGAGCTCTTCTCTAGAGAAAAAAAGTGCCAGCTAATAAAGGGAGAATGAATGATGGAAGTAGAAAATCACGATTCTGCAACCCCAACTATTATCATTGGTTCGGGCAAAGACCATCAAAGCGATGCTAAAACCGCTGGGCAAAGGTTTGGGGACAGCAGATTCATTCAGTCTCAGAGAATCATACCACTTATTACAGACTAACTACATAAAACAGGGGTCTTACAGTGGAGAGGTCTGGCAGAGACCATCTGTCTGGCTGACCCGACACTGAGTGTCTCCTGATGTAGTGCAGTGGGCACACACAACATCATCTATGAGGTGTTCTTGGCGCAAGGATCTTCCCTGAAACTTATCAAGTATCTAGTATCACCCCAATGTCCAGTTTACAAGAAATATAGGGTATTTTGAAATAAGTTAAATGATACCCTGAAGAAATAGTCAGAAAAATCCAGAATGTGGCTTGAGCGTTTCAAAAAAGTCTATGTCAGGGCGCCTGGGTGGCTGCAGTTGGTTAAGCGACTGCCTTCGGCTCAGGTCGTGATCCTGGAGTCCTGGGATCGAGTCCCGCATCGGGCTCCCTGCTCGGCGGGGAGTCTGCTTCTCCCTCTGACCATCTCCCCTCTCATGCTCTCTCTATCTCATTCTCTCTCTCAAATAAATAAATAAAATCTTTTTTAAAAAAAAGTCTATGTCATTTAAAAAAAATTAATAATGTAATCATTGCGTCAGGGCGTAATAACAAAGGTGGGGGCAGGGCACTGTTATCGATGAAAAGACACCAAAGAAATATAACAACAAAATCTAATTCCCAATCCTTGATTGGATCCTGGAGCAGCAAGTAAAACCAAAAAGGATATTTTGGGCACCACTGGGGAAATACGAATTTGACCTAATTACTAGGGAGAGAAAGAAAATATGGCAAAATGTGGATAATTGGTAAACGCAGTGCGGGCATATGGTGTTCACTGCACCATCCTTTCAACATTTCTGGAAGGTCTGAAAATTTTCTAAATAAAATAAAAATATTGAAAAAGTCAGAAGGCACAGGAAAATATCCATAATACGCTAAGTGGGGAAACAAAGTCTAAAAACCAGATTGACAGTATGACTCTATTACTTTTGTTTAAAGATACACCTCTGTGGGCCCAGGAGTAAAGACTGCAAGGATTTATAGAAAAATGTTGGTGGGGCGCCTGGGTGGCTCAGTCGTTAAGCGTCTGCCTTCGGCTCAGGTCATGGTCCCAGGGTCCTGGGATCAAGTCCCACATCGGGCTCCCTGCTCGGCGGGAAGCCTGCTTCTCCCTCTCCCACCCCCCTGCTTGTGTTCCTGCTCTGGCTATCTCTCTCTCTGTGTCAAATAAATAAATAAATAAATCTTTAAAAAAAAAAAAGAAAGAAAAATGTTGGCAATGTATACCTCCAGGTGCTTTTCCAGGTTGGTTTGTTTGTCTTCACTGAACATAAATGTTTTTGTAGTTTAGAAAAAAATAACTTTAAAAGAAAGATCTGGTCTCTGTTATTGTGGAGTTTACATTCTGACCACAAGAAATGTGCTCAAGATAGTCCCAGGGCCAGGCCCCAAATTAAAAATTGTCATGTGCAGGGGTGCCACGGTGGTGCAGTCGGTTAAGTGTCCGACTCTCGGTTTTGGCTCATATACTCTTGGTTTCGGCTCAGGTCGTGATCTCAGTGTCGTGAGACCCGCCCACATCATCGGGCTCCACACAGTGGGGAGTCTGTTCAAGATTCTCTCTCCCCCCTCTCCATCTGCACCTCCTGCTCATGCTCTATCTCTCTAAAATAATAAAATCTTAAAAATTAAAAAAAAATTAGGGGCACCTGGGTGGCTCAGTTGTTAAGTGTCTGCCTTCGGCTCAGGTCATGATCCCAAGGTCCTGGGATCGAGCCCCACATCAGGTTCCCCACTCAGCGGGAAGCCTGCTTCTCCCTCTCCCATTCCCCCTGCTTGTGTTCCCTCTCTTGCTATCTCTCTATCAAATAAATAAATAAAATCTTTTTTAAATAAATAAATAAATAAATAAATAATAAAATGCACATAAAAATGAAACTGTCATGTGCAGGGGCGCCTGGTCGGCCTGGTAAGTGGAGCGTGCAACTCTTGATCTTGAGGTTGTGAGTTCGAGTCCCACATTAGGTATAGAGATTACTTAAAAATCTTTAAAAAAAATTTTTTTTAAATTGTCATGTGCAACCATAGACAGACACTCAAACAATGCCCCTTCCCTAATGTCCCTTAAATACCTGAGGAAGTTTTCTTGCAGTCCCTTTAGGTACTCATCAAAATAATTCCATTCATTCCTGTGGAGCCAGCTCAGTTGGTGGAGGTTGTCCCTCTGCTTCTTCATGTTGCTCAGGGTCAGGTTGATGACCTCAGCATACGTCAGGACAGACTCAGTGGCATCAGCCGTCAAGGAAAAGCCCATACTCTCAGTTGGTATTGACTGAGCGTTACCAGCAGAACAGCCTACTGCATGGGGCGGGGGCTGGGGGGGGGATGGCAGAGTGGGGGAAATGACCTCTTTCTGGACCAGATCACTGAAATCTGGGCAGGAAAGGACTCCTGCTCTCTGGCCATGGCCTACTGGGAAAGGCAAGCAGATATCCTCCCCAATGGCCAGGCCATTCCCGGTCTTTTAACAAAGCCCTTCTCTCCTGCTGATGGAAGGGCTAGGAAATGCTCTTTTCATACTGCTGTCTAAAATTCTCACTCACTTATCATGGGAAGCACTTCGTAATGTATAGAGTTGTCATATCACTATGTCGTACACCTGAAACTAATAAGTTGTGAGTCAACTATACTTCAATAAAAAAAATAAGCAAATAAATACAATTCTTACTCTATTATTACAGTGGTGAAGAGGAATGGATTTCAACTATCAGTCTCAAGCCTCATTCCCAACATCATGGAAGTTGATAAAAGATATTGAGCTCCGAGGTTAAGCGGTGCACATGAGATCTTAAGGTCAGTGGGTTGCTGAGCTGGACTCAAATCTGGGGCTGTGTATTCCCAACCCAGGCTCCTTCCACTATACTACACAGTCTACAGAGCACTGAGGTGATATACGGGAAAGTGCTTTATATACTAATAAAGTGCTATGAAATGTGAGCTGTTAGGCTTATATATAAATAAGTCTGGGGATATGAGCTCTATAGACAAGTGCTACCTAGTTCATTGGAAAAGCTCCTCCTGATGGGGAGCTATGTGCAGACAGGTAACGTTTCAAGCACTTGTTACTTCTCAGGCTCTAGGCCAAGCCTTTATTGTTACTGTGCCAGTACTCTGCAATAACAGCCCTAGAAGGCAGGTGTTGCTATCCCATTTTGTAGATGAAAAAAATGAGGCTCAGAAGTTTGTCTAAGATCACTCAGCTGGTCAACAGTTGAGTTGGTTCTTGAGTCCAGGAGGACTTGATTCCATATTCTGACCCCCTACAGTAAAGTGCTAGGACTTAGGACACCAACATGTCACATCTGTTTTCTTAAGATCTGCGTTGGTTACCAAATCTTTAAAATAAATGCCAGCAGGGCCAGAGATCTGCTGATGGATCTGGAGGAGGGATGTGTGTGTGTGGAGGATGGTAGAAGAAACACACGTCTGGACCCCAAATCCTGATCAATACATACTCTGGGGTCAATGAGCATCTGGGAGTCATTACTGAGCTGCAAAGCATGTTCGAGTACCTAGTTAGCATTCTCTCTGGTAGATAGGAAGAGATTTTGCACCCAGGGGAATTTGACATGCCCAAGATCCCACGCAGCCAGTTCATGAGGCCGACTTGGAACTAAAAGGCGCAAGATTCTGAGCCTTAGGCTCATATCAATGGCTACCCTTGACGGACACGCATTATGTGCCAGGCACTGGGTTAAGGACTGGGTGCCTTTCCACATCCTTGCTTCTGGGAGGAGGAAGCAGAGGCCTGGAATAATATCTGCCCTGCCCATGGTGGAAAGGATATGGGATGCTCTTGGTTCTTTCCCTCCTGACTATCAACACGTCTTTGCCACAATGCTGCAGACAGCCGTAATTCTGGAGGAAGTACACAATCAGAGGGCTCTTCCCATAAAGGTTGAAGAAGTTTGAAATCAGCTCAGGGCTTTTGCAGGCTGGGTGAGACTGAGTAGGAAAGAGAGTGGAAAAAATTACAGATTGTCATTGTTACAACATGGATTAAGAAACGTAAAGGTAATAATGTTCTCTGTCCAGTAACTTCAATTTGAGGATACTACCCTAAGGAAATTACCCAAATTAAAGAAAAAAGATTTAAGTACTAAGATGCTTGCTGCAGAGATATTGACTATAGCAAAAGATTAGAACAACCTGAATGTTCAAGAAGATACTGATATTTCTATCCCAAGGAATAGTTATGCTGCTACTAAAATGTTTATGAAGAGTTGGTCCCAAGAAATAGCTTCAGATCTAATAGTAGACTTAAAAATTGAGATGCAGGGGCACCTGGGTGGCTCAGTCAGTTAGGCATCTGCCTTCGGCTCAGATCATGATCTCAGGGGCCCGGGATTGAGCCCCATGTCTGCCTCCCCGGTGAGCAATGAGTCTGCTTCTCTCTCTGACCCTCCCCACCCTCATGCTCTCTCTCTCTCTCAAATAAATAAATAAATAAAATCTTAAAAAACAAAACAAATAGGGCATCTGCGTGGCTCAGTCGGTTAAGGTCTGCCTTCTGCTCAGGTCATGATCCCGGAGTCCTGGGATCGAGCCCCGCATCGGGTTCCCTGCTCAGCAGGAAGCCTGCTTCTCCCTCTGCCCCTGCCCCCCACTCCTCTCTCACTCTCTCTCTCAAGTAAATAAGTAAAATATTAAAAATAAATGAAAAAATGAAAAAAATTGAGATGCAAAGTCAGGTAGATAGCATTATATATTCTCTATGAAACAGTTAAAAAGAAAGATAGGAGACTGCAAGCATAGTTACCAAAATGTTAATGATTCATTCAGCAAATATTTATTGGGTCACTATCATGTATAAACACTGTTCTAGGTGCTAGAGATTTAACCAAGAAGAGGATAAATTCCAGCCCTCACGCAGCTTGCATTACACTTGAGAAAAGACAATAAACAATTCAACAAATAGAGAATAGTGTAACATTATGGAATAATAGGAGCTTCAAATAAGAATCAAGCAGGTGGGGCGCCTGGGTGGCTCAGTCATTAGGCGACTGCCTTCGGCTCAGGTCATGATCCCGGGGTCCTGGGATCGAGCCCCGCATCAGGCTCCCTGCTCTGCGGGAAGCCTGCTTCTCCGTCTCCCACTCCCCCTGCTTCTGTTCCCTCTCTCGCTATCTCTCTCTCTGTCAAACGAATAAATAAAAATCTTTAAAAAAAAAAAAAAAGAAGTGATGGAATTGGCAATCTGCTGTGAAAGCAGAATTGGCAGGATTTGCTGGAGGACTTGACGTTGAGTGTGAGGAGAGAAGTCAAGGATGACTCTAAAGATGTAGGTGCCAGTTGTTCAGGTGGGAGGATCCAGGAAGGAACAGGTTGGTGGGGCAGGAAAATCAAAAAGTCTGCTTCGGGGGCGCCTGGGTGGCTCAGTTGGTTAAGCGACTGCCTTCGGCTCAGGTCATGATCCTGGAGTCCCAGGATCGAGTCCCGCATCGGGCTCCCTGCTCGGCGGGGAGTCTGCTTCTCCCTCTGACCGTCCTCCCTCTCATGCTCTCTGTCTCTCATTCTCTCTGTCTCAAATAAATAAATAAATAAAATCTTAAAAAAATAAAAAGTCTGCTTCGGTCGTGCTATAGTTGAGAGGAAGTATCTCAGGAAAGAGAACGGCCTGGGGCCAAGAGTGACTTGTTTTCCTTGCTTATTATTCCTCTGCCTTTTTCCAACAATGTCAATAATGAGTATGTACTACTTTTGTATTTAAAGAAACAATACATTTTAAAGAAGCAGATATAATTTAACTAAAAAAGTCTGCCCCATGAATAAGGGCTGTGACAACACCTGAGTGCACTATTCTCTAGTACTTTCCATTTTAATTGCTTCATGAGATTTTTTTTTTTTTCTACCTATAGCACCGTCTCTTAAACCTCATCACTTTGACATGTTGGGCCAGATAATTCTTTGTGGCAGGAGCTGTCCTGTGCATAGTAGGATGTTGAGCAGCATCCCTGGTCTCTAGATGCTAGTAGGACTCTGTCTCCTCCTTCACCCCCAGTTGTGACGACCTGAATTGTCTCTAGGTGTGGCCAAGTCTCCTAGCAGGCAAACTCGCCTGCAGTGGAGAACTACTATTTAACAGCAAGATCCCACTGGGTTCACAGAAACTTAGGCTAATAAGGAACCCTACCGCCAAACTGGGGGCCGATCTGTGTTTGGTCTCCAGTGAAATGCGGGCAACAAGGAAAAAAAATATTGCAATAAATCTGATATAGAGTACGCTTATTCACTTTAAGGCCTTTCTTTTATTCTGAGATTACCTTTTCTCCTTTTTTGTGCTAATGACCTTTCTTCTATGAAACAATGGTGATGGTAGATAAGCAGTCATTTTGCTTTAATGAACTTTAGTTAAAATTTTTTTTTTCAAAGTCTAGAAAATTCCAAAGTGAATCCAGGATCCACTGATTTAGTTCTACATTTATCCTAGAGTTATTCTTTTGGTTGCCCAGAATCCATCCTCCTTTCCTGACAGGCCCTGATTCTTGTGCTTGGGGGAGTTTACCTGCCCTCTACTGCATTTGGGTTTAAGGGAACTGTGAAGTCAAAAGTCCTGCTCCCCCATGAGGGCACTGGAGGGGTCCTCAGAGGCCTTCACAGGCTCTGCCAGGGCCTACCTCCACCTACCCAGCTAGAGCCAGGGCTCATGGAATCAGCTTTGGTCAGTCAAAACTCCTGCTCCTGGGATTTTGAATCTTGAGTGGGGTAAAATATAGACTGCAAACACATGGGGGTTCACCCATCCGAGGCATGTCACCTTGAAGAGATGGTTTGAGGGTTGAAACTGCCATGATTCTTCTCCTCGTGCCTGGACTCAATTTCAGACTTTCTAGCTTACTCAGTGTTCTTCCAGTTTTTGTTCAAGTTGGCCAAGGACAGAGTGGGAAATGTTCAGAGAATCTCTCTTTAGTGCTTTGGAAGAAGGTGGGGAAAAAAGATACTTCTTTGACAATTCCTCAAACAGGCCTGATTTAGTGAAAATGAAGAGCAGGAACACATTGAAACTGTGAAGGGATCCAAAGGCGGTCCTGGGTCAGCAGTGAGCCCCTATCCTAGCTTCAATCCATCCTCGGATGTTGCTGCTTTGCATAATGTGGTAACAGTTAAAGGTGTGGATGAAGCAACCATCATTGACATTCTAACTGAGAGGAACAATGCACAGTCCTTGGCAGATCAAAGCAGCATATCTCCAGGAAAAAGGAAAGCCCCTGGATGAAGCTCTGAAGAAAGCCCCTTCTGGTCACCTCAAGGAAGTTGTTTTGGCTCTATTAAAAACTCCAGCCCAGTTCGATGCTGGTGAACTTTGTGCTGCCACGAAGGGCCTTGGAACTGATGAAGACAGTCTGGATGAAATTTTGGTATTGAGAACTAACAAAGAAATCAGAGAAATTAACAGTCTATAGAGAAGAACTAAAGAGAGATCTGGCTAAAGATATCACCTCGGACACATCTGGAGATTATTGGAATGCTCTGCTTTCTCTGGCTAAGGGTGACCTATCTGAGGATTTTGGCTTGAATGACGACTTGGCTGATACGGATGCTAGGGCTTTATATGAAGCAGAAGAAAGGAGAAAAGGGACAGATGTGAATGTGTTCATTACCATCCTTACCACCAGAACCTATCCCCATCTTCGCCAAGTGTTTCAGAAGTACAGCAAGTACAGTAAGCATGACATGAACAAAGTTCTGGACCTGGAGATGAAAGGTGACATTGACAAATGCCTCACGACTACCGTGAAGTGTACCACAAGCAAACCGATGTTCTTCGCCAAGAAGCTTCATCAGGCCATGAAGGGTTCTGGACCTCAGAATTATGGTTTCCTGCTCTGAAATCTACATGAATGACATCAAAGCATGCTACCAGAAATTGTATGGTCTCTCTCTCTGCCAAGCCATCCTAGATGAAACCAAGGGAGATTATGAAAAAATCCTGGTGGCTCTCTGTGGAGACTAACATTCCTTTGCTGATCGCAAGCTTCTTGATCAGAAGACTTTTTAATCATATCATTTCATTCTATATCATAGACTTAAACAGGAAAGTTTTCTCAGCAGGATTACAGTCTAGCTAAATGCTTTCTGAAAAATATAGCCTATAAATCATTTTTATATCACAACTCCATATAATAGAAGTTTTTTTAAAACTATATTTATCCCAAATTATAAAAACCTCATAAACAGGTTGTTCTAGTAACATTACCTGAGAAAGATGTTTGTGCAGTAGAAAATAAAATGATTTTGCAGGACAAAAAAAAAAAAAAAGTTGGCCAAGGACAGATTTTGTTATTTATAAGCAAAGAATTCCAACTAATATACTTCTTTCGATAATATTCTCAACAGGTAATCGTCCATTTTGCTTCCCTAACTTTGAAATAAGAAACATACTACCTTCAGAAACATCCATGTTGGTAAGCATCTGATTTCTCCTCACAGGTGGGAGTCAGGGACCGGGCCTTGGGTACCGGGACCTGGGAATAGGAGTGGAAAGGGCTGGCTGCTAACCACAGCACTGGGCCAAGGCTGGCCAGTGTGCAAGACGAGAAGTTCTGAAACATCAGATCCAAGGGGCAGGAGGAAAGCAGAGTAGGAGCTAGAGTGAAGGGTTGGCATCAGAGACCTGGCAGGAGGAAGGAGTTGGTTTGAGATCTAGAGACGGAACAAGACCAGCAGATGGTCTGCAGCAGAGCCAGGGGGTAAAGCTGGTTTAAAATGGCAACTTGGACCCTTAGGAAGTTCCTTCTTAGCCTAGATAAAAATCTGACTCTCTAATTCCAACCCATCTTCCTCCAGAACCATGTGTTACAGAATGGTCCTTCAAATATTGGAGGAGAGGGCGCCTGGGTGGCTCAGTTGGTTAAGCGACTGCCTTCGGCTCAGGTCATGATCCTGGAGTCCCTGGATTGAGTCCCGCATGGGGCTCCCTGCTCGGCAGGGAGTCTGCTTCTCCC